ATATTTTATGAAATATATTTTTTTATAGATTGCATCAAGAACATTACTAAAGCAAGTTGCCCCACTTATTACTTTGGATTTGTCTATAAAGAATTCAGACAAGGATAACAATATTGAACATGTGTTACTTCAAACTGATCCTGTTAATTTATTACACCTAACACAACAATTAGAAGATGCTCTAGCAGAAGGTCGCAGTCAACACATTCGTAGACTTTCAAGAGTAATAAAATGATGATAATGCTACTGCATTGTAATTATATTTTATGCAATAAATTGTACGAAAATATGTAAAATGTATGTCTTTTTTTTAAATTTTATCCTCTAATAAAATTATATATTAATTGAATCTATATTGATTACTTAAATTTGAATACAAAAGCATATGTAAAGTTTCCCTTTGATCAGATTACTCTAAATTCTAGCTGACAGTACTTTTCATATGTCACACTGTAGTAAAACCTACGTAAGAATAATACAAATGCATTTATTAGGACTATAGATAGATATTCATTTGAATATTTTATTGGATGACTTTATTGGATCGTACCTTATTGAGCATATAAAAGAAGAACAGTGCATTTGTAGTTACAGTAGTGAAATGTGAACAGTTAGGTATGGAAGTATAATGTGAAATTTAAAATTATATTCACATGTAAAATTAAATACTGTGTGTGAATAGTTAATTAATGATGGATATATTTAATGTAACCACTTCCCTTTCTGTTGGAGATATACCTCTAAACACTTTCACTCTAACAACTACTATAGGGCCACATTTTGCAAGGCAATGGATGCGTTTCAATAATCAAACTGTTGTCAGTAAAGTGCCTGAAGATATACTGTATTTAATTGATCCATATTGGTAATGAGAATATTTATTGTTTATAACATATGTTTAATACATATGTTCATATTATTATATTTTTAAACATAGGTATCAATTTCCTCCATTACATCCTTTATGGCATCAAATCTTGGGCTTAGTTATGATTGTATTAGGTATTATGGGATGGTGTGGAAATGGTGTAGTGGTTTATGTATTTTTAATGACACCATCCCTGAGGACACCAAGCAATCTTCTTGTAGTAAACCTTGCATTCTCAGACTTCATAATGATGGGTTTCATGTGTCCACCTATGGTAATTTGTTGTTTTTATGAAACATGGGTTCTTGGTAAGAAATAGAAAAACCTCATAAATAAACATAAAATATAACATTTTATATTCTACAGTGATAATTTTTTTCAGGTCCCTTAATGTGTGACATTTATGCAATGGTTGGTTCATTATGTGGATGTGCTTCTATATGGACCATGACTGCTATTGCTTTGGACAGATATAATGTTATAGTGAAGGTATGTCATATGCATATACAATATGTACATTTATATATGTAGAAATAATAAAAGTAAAAGTGATATTACAAGAAAATGAAACATTCTTAGGGTATGTCTGGTACACCCCTTACTATCAAAAGAGCTATATTGCAAATATTAGGTATCTGGTCCTTTGGCTTAATATGGACAATTTTGCCTGTGGTAGGGTGGAACAGGTAATTTTTGTATTATGGAAGTATATTTAACCGTAAACGAAATATAGCAAGTACCCTTCATTACATATTAACACATCACGTGTAAAACAGGTATGTTCCAGAGGGTAATATGACAGCATGTGGAACAGATTATCTTACGCAAGATTGGGGTTCGAAATCGTATATATTAGTTTATTCCCTTTTCGTCTATTATACCCCATTGTTCACAATAATTTACAGTTATTACTTTATAGTTTCGGTAAGTATTTAGAACCTCGTGTCAAGTGAGAGACTGTTAATCGCACTTTATAATTATCATCATCGTGTAGGCTGTTGCGGCACATGAAAAAGCAATGAGAGAACAAGCGAAAAAAATGAATGTTGCCTCTTTACGATCGGGAGAAAATCAAGGCGCTAGTGCAGAGGCAAAATTGGCAAAGGTGTTCTGAAATTACGATCTATCGTCGTAAAGTGTATTTTTACTGACGTGTTATATATTTTTTTTTTTTAGGTGGCACTGACGACAATATCTCTGTGGTTTATGGCGTGGACGCCGTATCTTGTGATTAATTATATCGGAATATTCAATCGTTCGTTGATCACACCCCTTTTCACAATATGGGGTTCCCTGTTCGCAAAGGCAAATGCAATATACAATCCGATCGTTTATGGAATCAGGTATGACTTTTTTAAACGCTTCAATATCTTTACTTATCGCGATAAGAGTAATATTAATAATTCTTTCCACAAATATGTTGGGGACAGTCATCCAAAATATAGAGCCGCGTTGAAAGAGAAACTGCCGTTCTTAGTGTGCGGCTCGACTGAAGAACCAACCGCTGCATCTGGAGGGGAGAAAGGTTCGGAAGCTGGTGGAAACTAATAAAAAATAGTAAACAGGGAATCGAAAGTTTTATCAAAGGTTTCTCTCTCATTTCTTTCCTTTTCCTTTAAATTGTAAATACAAAGAGGATCTTTTATA